AAAAAAGTGGTTTAAAATAATACACCCAGCTGTAGTCTTTGTTTATTCATTTTCCCTACCCCAAAGCAACCACTTTCAGAATGTTTTAAATATCCTTCCAGAGACACACTGTGTATTTCTGTGTACATGATCTTTTTCAGCTCTTCACACTATCCACACATTTAAGCTTCTTGATTACTTTAACACCTTGGCTTTTATTTCATCCTTGTACTTAAAAGATAGCCTTTTTCTTTTTTGATGCCTGTAGCATTCCATTGTATATATCTAACATAAGTTAAGCATTTGGCATAGGTTGAAAGCATTATTGTTTTTCATCATGTTATTAAATTATATTTAATGAATGTTTTCAACTATATAATTTCACATTTAAGCAAGTATGTATGTTGGATAATGCTGTTCAAAGTAGAATTGCTTTCAAGGAGTACAGCTTTTTAATTTTGTTAGGTATAGTCAAACTGCTTTCAGTAGAAGTTAGATGAATTTACATTCCCATTAACGATAAATAGGCATCCATTTCTCTATACCCTGTCAAGACAGCTGCATCCAGTTCTTAGTTAGAAAGTCAGCAGTGAATGACCAGTAGAATAGAGCTGGGTTTTATAAGTCAATTCTTTTTTCCTCAGAAAGAGAATATTTTAAAGAAAATATTCTAAAAGAGAATATTTAAGAGTCTAGTAAATGTTACCAATTTGGACGTAGGTAAGCAAATCTGTTTTGGAGGATCAAGCAGTCATATATACTTTAGAGTCAGAAAATGGTTTTTAAATGTTTGAGGAAGGTTGACTCTGAAAGGTTAAATTCTAAGAGTATAGAACACATTGGAAAATCTGAAACTGCCATTTTTATAATTGATAGTGTTTCTATACAGTTCTGAACATAACCTAGGCATTAATATCAATCTGCTTTAAAAGAGGACCTTTTTCCCCTTGTCACCTACTAACTCTCACTCTCTAAGAATCTTACTGTTAAGGTAGTAAAAATAAACTTTGATACCATGTAGCATGATTTAATTTAACTGAATTTCACATCAATATTTCATATTAGCCAAAATTTTAGAACAAATTTAGTAAATTTATCTTGGCAAATCAAGTATCAGAGAGCTGAACTTACTGAGTTAGAATATTTTGAACATACTTAGAGCCTACATTTCAGGGTATTCAGAAATTATGTTTTCATAAATTACCTTTGAATTAATAACTGGTTATTTCTTTGCTTATTCTCTCAACAAATAGTTGGTGTCTGCTTTTGGCACTGGGAATAATATAGTGCTTAAGAAGATAGATGTCATCTCTGTTCAAATGGGTTTTATAGTCTAATAAGAGGAAATGATAAATAATTAAATAGGCATGACAATTTAAAATTTCGAAAACTATTATGAAGTACAAACAGGGTGAGGAGAGAGTTGTTGGTACTTGTCAGGGTGACTGGTAAGGAAAGCATTTCTGAGATGACATTTGAGCTGATATTTTTTCTAATGCATATAAGCCAGCCTAGGAACAGCTGAAAGAAGAACATTCCAGGGCTTAGGAATAGTACAACAGCTCAACGGTTCAAAGGAACAACAAAAACAAAAACAAAAAACCCACAGTTTCTTAGGACATAACAAACCTGAGGGGGACCTTCCTGGTGGCACAATGGGTTAAAGCACAGCATGTGAAGTTGTCCACAGCCACTGCAGCATGAGTTTGATCCCTACCCCGGGAGGTGACCACATGGCTGGCAGACCTCTCCTGACCTGCCCGCTGCTCCCCTCAGCAGTGCCTTTTGTCAGTTGGCCTGTTCTGCTCCCCACTCTGTCTCTGGTGAAGCCTCTCACCGCCCCTGAGCCTCTGGCCTGTACCCCAGTTATGGATGCATAAAGAAATACATCTTAAAAAAAAAAAAAAAGAAGTGTTGGATTCCAAATGTTTTTTTTTTTTTTAAGTGAAGATGGTAGTATTTTTTTTTAAAGATTTATTTGTTTGTGCATACAGAACTGGGGTACAGGCCAGAGGCTCAGGGGCGGTGAGAGGCTTCACCAGACACAGAGTGGGGAGCAGAACAGGCAGACGACGAAGTACACTGCTGAGGGGAGCAGCAGGCAGGTCAGGAGAGGTCTGCCACGCCATGTGGTCACCTCCGGGGCAGGGGGGAATCAAACTCATGCGGAAGTGGCTTTAGCTTCTCAGTGCTGTGCTTTAACCCGCTGCGCCACCAGGGAGGGCCCCAAATGTTGTTTTTAAAATCCCTTCACCAATATTTAAAAAGTTTGTTGAAATAACATTAGTTTGTAACATTAAGTTTCAGGTATACAGCATTATTTTTGACATCTATGCATTATGATCACTGCCAGAAAGTCCAGTTCCCATTGACCACCACACAAATTACCACTTTTACCCATTTTACTCACCTACCATCCCCCTACCCCTCCAGCAACCACCATTGTTCTGTTCTCAGAATCTAAGAGTTTGGTTTTTTGTTTTGCTTTGTTTATTTGCTTTGTTTCCTTATCTTGCACATATAAGTGAATCATACGCTATTTGTCATTCTCTTATTTACTTCACTTAACATGAAATCCTCTAGTCCATCCATGTTGTAGCATATGGCAAGATTTCATTTCTTTCTTTATAGCTGAGTAGCATTCTGTGTACAGATTTGTGATATTTGGCTATCATAAGTTAGTTTTGTTTACATTTACCACTTATAGATTCAGAAAAATGATAAATAATAAACATATTACATATATGTATATATGTGTAAAACTCAGTCATTATAAAATAAAAATTCTAAGTGTTGAAAAGGCATTATGTTATATGTAGTTTAATGGGTAGACTTTTCTCTTAGGATATATAAAAAGTATTATTTCTTAAAACTTGCGGCTTTTCAACAAAGTACAATTAGGTGATAACTTAAAGCCAGGGAATAAGTCAGGTCTAGGTCTGAGTTTTTATAAAGAATAAAGATTTTCATAGAATCTGCTATGTCTGCAGACTGCCTCACTAGACTTCCTCCTCAGCCTTCCAGACTCAATTTGGATTTCATATTCCTCAGAAAAAGCCTTTTGTAATACCTTCCATCTCCACCCCAGTGACTGAGTACAGAAAAAAAGAAAATAGATCATAGATTTGCTAAATGGTATTTATTCACTTTAGCCACTGTAATTTTATTTTCCTTCAGTTAGTGTTTCTAGGGAGGCGTATGGAAGGTTACAGTAAGTTTTTGTTCATACAGAATCCAAGAATGATGGTAGGAATAGAATATATTAAATCAATCAGACAGTATATAACCATCTTTATTTTCTGGTCATTTGTACTAACCAAGTATTTCCATCCGCTATCTCCCCATTTCCCCCTAAGGAATGGCCAGATGAAAGGACAGTAAACATGAGCTCTATTCAGGTAAGTAAACTTTTACCATGTTCAGGGATTTCATCTCATCAAAAGTATTTATTGGCAAAAAAAAATTAACTCTTCAGCTGAACAAAGCTGAAGTTTCTTGCCTTTCCAACTTCAAACTTATTTTAAATTCACTCCAGTGACTTATATGTGAATTTGTTGGCATACACCCTTTACAGTATTCTCTAAGGAATAACTGTTCAGTTTCACCCTTGATGTTTTGGTCATGAATCACCTCCTTTTATTTGTTTTGCTTTTGTCTTATTTTATAGTGCAGTTGCCTGTCTACAACATGTGATTGTAATCAGACTCACTTAACGAAACTCAACACAATTGTACCATTATTATAAAAAACATGCATGTCATGTACATATTTAATATAAACAGTAACATAGTAATGGGTGCTGCTCTGTTAGATGTTACATTCCCGGAGTGTGGGAATGATGGCCCACTGCTCTCTCATGGTGCTTTGTTCAGCTGAAGAGTTCATTTTTTTGCCAATCCAATAAAAGGAATGTTCTGGTTTAACTGTTACTAAATGACTGAGTCTCATCTAACTCTTGGTGTGTGCTTCCAGACACTGGAAACTTTTCCTAGCTAAAGAAGAGGAAGTAGAGAATAAACATGGCAAATATTTAATAAGTAATTTTCCCTTTTTTGTGCCTACAGGGAAAGAAATGGAACTGGTATTTGGACTATTTGTTTTCAGAGGGATTACAAGGCTTAAAGCTTTTCATAAAAAGTAGTATTCAGCGTTCTTCTGACCCCTAATCAGAGATCAGCCATGTGATCAACAGTATATGAATGGCATAAACAAACTGAGCATAAGGACTAAATTCCTCCCTCATGCCTAGAGATGCCAGGTGGCTCCACTTCAGTTTCCATAGTTTTCTTTTCTTTTTTTTTCTTTTTTTACCAGCGGACTACTATCCTCAGGGAGTGCTTGGACTGGCCTTTTCTATCTGTGGCTCCCAGAGAGCTTTGGTGTGACTAAGTAACTTTCTTTCACAGGACCCACATTATTTAATCCACTAGTAGACTTCATTATCAGGCTCTACTTTCCACCAAATGTATAACTAGACATCTATTCGAGGATTACTTAGTTGCATTGATGCGCGAGGGTAGGTAGCATACTCTTTCATGCTCTGCTGCCTCCATGAAATCCCGATGGATAGTGCCATTTTTCTTATGGAACAACAGCACCAGCACCAAGTCAACAGGATGGATTTCTAACTCTAAAAGCTGGTTCTGAGTAGTTGGTAGCTCCCTGGAACCTTCGCTAGGACAATTTGTGAGAGAACAAGGGGAAGAGGATTGTGGGATATTCAAAATATTTATTTAATTTCAATTTCATGAAACTGCTCTAGCATGTGTTCGTGTGTATATCCCTTTTTAAGTGCTCAGGCCCAAGTTATCTACAACTTTTCTTTCAGGGATAATTCTGAAGAGTAAATAAATTATAATAGCTAGAATACCTTGCTGAGAATTTCCTCTAAATTTTGCTTCAGTACTAAATGACTCTCCCCCCTTTTAATAAAATTCATATCATTTGAGGAAAATCAAGCTTAATTTATTTTTAAGGTCACACACTTGTGCCATTTTTCTTTTAAAACAAAATAATCTCCTAAACTAAATTGTTTGATAGTGTCAGACTAGAAATCCCATTTATTTTTTCAAATCATATTTATTGAGCTTACTGTGTGCTATATATATAGCTGTGACCAATACAGTATACCTGCTTTTGTGAAATTTACTACACTGCATTAGAGAATATGCACAGTAAACGTGAAAAGCAGATATATCAGGTGCTATAAAGAAAAAGCAAGAACTAGGGCCAGAATGTTCAGAGGGTTGCTACTTTCGATAAGGTTGTGAAAGGCTATGTGATGAACTGACATGTGCAGAAGCCCTGCTGAAGCAAATGGACGAGTCATTTGAATATATAGGGAAAGAGTATGTTGGGCAGAGTTAAAAGGCCTATAAAAAGTTAACTTACTTGACAAGTTTGAATAATAGAGGGCCAGTAAGTTTACAAGTTTAAGGGAGAAGAACAGTAAGAAATGAAATGAGGGGGAAGTCAGAGTAGCTCACAAAGGTGCTGTTCCCTGGCATGGATATATAAGGGGAAGGACTGGGAATGGAGGAATGATGTAAGAGGCTTACATGTTTGGGACTGCAGTGTGAAGTTTAGACAGAAGGGGATGAAGAATAGGAGCAGAGACCAGTTAAGTTATTACAGTGTTCTAGGCAAGAGTCTTAGACTACAGCGTGATAGACATTAGGCAAGTGGTTAGAGGTTGGTGTGTTTGGGCTCTATTTTAAAAATAGAGAAGGTGGGATCTGCCAGTAGTTTTAGCAAGAAGGAGAGGAGTAAAAGGTGACTCCTATGTTTTTGACCACCTGGGTAAATTCTGGAATGCAGAGATGAGACTGTGGAGGAGAACAGATTTATAGAAACGTGGTGTCAGGAGGGGTGTTTTGCCACATTAGGTGGAGATGCTGAAGAGGCAGGTGGATATTCAAGACTAAGGCTCAAGGTACAAATTGAAACTGGAAACATTAATTTGGGAGTCATTAGTGAATAGCCATAAGATTGGATGAGATCACTTACTGCAGCTAGAAAAGATGGCAAAAGACAGCCTGGAGGTATACCAGGATTAAGAAGTAGGGGAGGAACCAGCAAAGGACCCAGGAGGACCCACCAACTGAGCTAGGCAAAAATGCAGGAGACTGGGTGCTGCAAGTTGAGTGAAGAAAGCTGTTCAACAAAGAGGGTCTCATGGAGTGGAGTTACTGCCTAGACCTGCCTGGAGAAAGAAGCTGTAGCTGTTTTGAAGTAAATGTGATAGCTTCCTCAATAGGTAACCTTCCTCATAAGAGTTCTCTCTCATTTTCACATTTGTACTCCAGATAACTCTCCATATTTTTCAGAATGTAATGTGGAACTTTCAGTTAGGAGAAGGGGTTGATTTTTTCTTATGCAGTTTTTCATGAAATTTAACTGCTAACAATCTTCAAGTCATTGAAGTAACTTTTCTAAGTGTATGTTCCAGGAGAAAACAAATTATCCCCTTACATTTGTCTTTTTGCTCAATAATGAGTCCCTGGATACCTTTTTGCCTATTTTTTCCCATAGTTTTATAGTTCAGTGAAGAGTTAAGATTAGATATATGGCTATGCAAATAAGCCAAATCTAGTTATTTGAAATCCCTTTTAAAAAAAGAACCTTCAAGACAAATAAAAACAGTATTTCAGTAAGAATAGCTATTTTTGCTTTAAAGCAAAAGGTGTTTGGAGAAAAATAGAAAATTTGTTTTACTATCCCATTTGTACAAGAAGTATATTTACTCTATTTGTATAAAGTTGTTGATGTTCTAAATGTTTATTTAATGTTCAATAGTAAAATTGCTATTAGATTTCCAACATTTAGGTTTTCCTTTTTTAAATCAACTGCTCCTTTTGGTCTTAGAAAGACCAATCTAGAAAGAAACACTGACAAGTTTATAATGTCTTACACACTTTTTAACATAGTAGAAATTTCTCTATATCAATTACTTTTTATATTACCAAATGCTTTACTGGAAAGTAAAAGTCCTCTGAAACTGGTATGCTTTTAAGATCTTTTTAAAATTTATATTACTTTTCACTTTATTTAAATTACTATGTTTATTAATAAAGTTGACCTGTTTTTAATCATGTAAAAATTCTATTTCTAATAAAGATGGATACTCTGGACTGAATGTGTTATCCCAAAATTATATGTTTGAAGTCCTAACCCCCAATATGATATGGTTCTCTTTGTTTGAAATGTCCACAATAGGCAAATCTTTCAGTATAAAGTAGAAAGTAGTGAAATGGTGCCCTTAAAAAGATCCCAAAGATCTCTCTTGTCCCTTTCATCAGGTGAGATTATAACAAGATGCCTGTGAATCAAAAAACTGGCTATCATCAGACATACTCTGCCAGCACCTAATCTTGCCTTACCAGCCTCCAAAACTGAGAGAGAGATTTCTGTTGTGAGCCCAGTCAATGGCATTATAACAGCCCCAGCAAAGGGAGACAGGGAGTAATTGTTAATGGGCATAAGGTTCCTTCATTAACGTAAAAGTGTTCTAACTTTTTAAATATAAGAAAAACAATAGAATGTTAGATGTTCTGTAGATGCATTTTGTGTAATTACAAGAAGCTATCTTAAAATAAAAAACAAAGGGAAACCATCCTTGAAAATTCCCTGAGCAGACAGAATCGGTTTAGTCATACAAACAAAACTTAATTGATTTTATAAGACTAACTTGTCCTGGGTCATCTTATGTATGCTTCTGGAAATCATAAGTAAAACAAACAGTATCCCAAGGTTGATGTGGGATAACCACCGGCCAGTTCCCTGTCATTGAAGTAAATTCCAATATTACAACCAAACACGGTGAAGGAGAAATAGTCGCTGCGTTTTCACTATATAAGCTGCTTTATAACAATATACCCCTGAACCTCTTTCCGTGTTTTAGGTTGAGTCTTCCAGTTTGCAAACTTTATTTTTGGTGTATGCACAATAAACTTTTACTAATTACGTCTTCAGTGATTCATTGGTTGTACTTAGACTATTTCTGAACTTTTGGCAGCTGTTAAAAAAAACTAGTCAGGATTATTTCAAATCCTGTTTTGGAAAAGGATGAGATGAGTAAGCTTAAAGATCTGGTGTTTGCATAGTGATTATCTTAACTGCATAGTAACATAAATTTAGAAAATTACAGTCATAAAATTATTTGCTTCTCTTCTGTCTCATACCTTGTCCTCTTCCAGTCTAGGAAGTTAGAAATATGAAAAGAGAATTGTATGCAGTTCTTACACAGATATTGAATATTTTAAGGAATTTTTAAAGGTAAATATCAAATTTGCAAACTATCTTGGTGCATGTACAATAAACTTTGACTAATTCTTCAGTGATTTGATGAGTTTACTTAAACTATTTCTGAACTTTTTACAGCTGTTTTAAAAACTTGTCAGGACTGTTTCAAATGAGTATCAACAATTATTTGAGGCTTTTTAGAGTCAACAAAGCAGATACGTCAAAATGATTTTCTAAGAATCAGATGCAGAAATAAGTTATGAAATTATATGTACTCAAAGTAATGATATTTCCCATTAAATTGTTTCCTCTTTTTTGAGCATATTTTTGTTTCACGAATAGACTAGTAATTACTCGAATAAATGAAATCTAGATTTCTAACAAAATAGTTCATACCTCCAATTCTGAATGAAGGTATAGCCAGAATGAATATTTTAAACTCTGCTGAATTTTAAATGAATAATTGTTTTTTTAATGTGTAAGTATGTTTAATTTCAGCTGAGAATTATAAAAATGAGATTTATTTAAAAAATGTAACCCAGCTTCTAAGTTGTTCGGTATAAAATATTTTAGTCATGTTTAAAATTCTTATTGCTGAATCTTGGGTAATCTACTGTCGCCCTCTGCTGGATATTTACCACACTACAAGGAAGTAAGAACTTGATCTCTAACTTGTCTATAGATGTAGACAGAATAGGGAAAATGAGTATGTTGAGATGAATGTGCGGCCTTGGTACGAGTCTTATGACTTTTCAGTCCTTACAACCTTGAAAGACCCATTTCCCTTGTGTGTGAAAATGAATTAAACTAAGAGCATTCAGTTTGTAAAATTCATCCAGCCACTCTATGCCTTTGGGAATTTAAGCCATTTATATTTTAGAATAATTATAGGTAGGTACGGATTTTTTTTTTCTTACAGATTTTTTCATTTATGCATACAGATCTGGTGAACAGGCCAGAGGTGCTGGGGCGGTGAGAAAGAGTGGGAAGAGAAA